GGGTCTTTTGTGTTATTATGTTTGGAGTGGATTGACTATAGTGCTAGGTCATATTTGCGCCTGGAATTAGCTCTCAATACCATTTCAAATTAATTTTAGTTAAAGGCAATACGCTATTCTTGATCACTAGATCATGCCCTCAATTTGTCTACAAGAACATTGTCTTGGGTTCTGTGCTTGAAGGTTAGTCCGGTTGTACTTTCTCTTTTCTTCATGTGTTTCAAGTTTCTTGTTTATTTATGTTGAATCCCAGCAACAGATGTTTCCAATTAGGATTAACTCAATTTATTCTGTTCTGGCATTTAAAAAGTTTTGACGCAAGTAATTTGAATTCAACTTGCATATAGAATACTAACTCAAGTAGTTTTATATATTATAAATCCATTAAACTGCAACTCATTACAAGATGGACTACTAGATACATGTTGTGTCTTCCATATTTGTGGACTTTCGTATTCATTCTCTGATTTTATTGTAATTTTCTACTCCTGATATGGTCTTTGGCACTGAAGGTAGTGCAAGCGGCCATTGGGTGAAGGTGGTACAATGATTTAGTTTTTCTGTCTCAAAGAGAAGGCTTGTAGATATTCTTTTTTCAGAATATAGTTTCTGCTTCTTTACTTAATTGGCAAAGAGATTATGAACTGAGTTAAGTTTGTAGATAGTTCATGTTTGTCCCATTTTGTTTTTACCCATTTTATGACACTCTCATTTCTCTGAACATAATACATTGTAATGCATATTTTACTTCAATTGTTTTCTTTATCTGGTTTCCTTTTATTTATTATACCTGAATTTTTCTGTAAATAATAATTCTATTACTCAAATTCGATATTTTGCATCCTCTCATACAGAACCAATTATCTTGTGATATCGTCAGGATTATGGTGTGAAGTTTGAGAAAGATGGTGCAGGATTTATCCAATTGGTGGGATTTAAGAACGAAGATCTGGTTATAAGTCATTTGGACCTACCATGTAATCCATTCATCTCATTTTGCACCATCCTGGACCATTTGTGGTTTGTGCTTTAAAAAGATTAACAGTTTTTACGTTCACATGTGCCATCGGAATCAAGTAAACAGACTCAGTCAGCATCTCTAAGCTATCAGATTCTTCTTCTGGTTCTTTTTCCCTTCCTGTGACATTTAGAAAAATATTTATGTGCTATCATCATCATTCAATCTGGAATGAAGCTTCAACAGATGTTATACTTTTCAAACATGGATGTTTTATGCTAAATTCTGATGGAGTTCAAGGGTTTAGATTATAGGATTGAGTGCATTATTTGCTAGATGGTTTAACTTATGAGGCTTTTAGTTCATGATTTTAGTTACGAAGAAAGTTCCAGTTTGAGATTGGATTTGGCGATTTGGGTTTTGGGGATCAACTTTTATGGTGTTTCAACTTTTAAGTTAGATGTTATGCATGTATAGCTGTGTTCAAACTTGATTTTGTCTGACTTTTCATTTTCCGAGGGAATAGATTCATTTTAACTGTCAGCTTGATTGTCTTTCCGCGTTTGAAAACAATTGTTTTTCTTTTAATCATTTTTTTCCAATGTTATGGAGTGTAGGGATGATATGGACCAAATCATGCGCCACTGGTGTGTGTTGTGGCATAATTCTTACTTGCTTGTAATTATTGTATTTCTTAAAATTGCTCTAGTTTCTTTTTGCTGGAAAATAATGCAAATCTAGACCTTTGTTTTCACATATATTTTATTTTCACAATAACATTTACCCCATATTATTTAGTTGGTTTAGCATTTTTAGCTTCTCCAGTTACTTCTAGCCAGTATATTAGTTTGCACCCAAATTATGTGTACATTAGTTAGATTTGTTTTGCTGCTATGATGGAATTGGGTTTTCCACTGCATTTTCCAATCTGGGATTTTTCGTCATTTTTATTTGAACAAAAATTTGATTTATTGAAGTAAGCTTGTGATCTTTTTCTTGGTGCTGCTTCTTGCTTTTGAAACCTACTCTTTGTAGGTGAATATAAGCCGTCATAGGAATAAAAAAAGATCTGTACATGAGGATTGTAGTATGCCCGGATGAGCATAACTGATGTTATTGGCAATGGAAAGACAAGGGTTCTTTATCGCCTTTTATGAGTAGCAGTGGATTCACCCTTCTTCTCTTGGGTTAGAAGAACGAAGAAAAGTTCATGAGAGTGGCTCTATGCAATAAGTACCACTTAGTAAACCAAAGAACCAATCCTGAACTCCACCTAGCTTTTGGAAAGAAAACATTATCTTTGCGTGCACCTCTTTTGTGTGCTTTGGTCATGCTGCCACTGAACGTAAGAGCCCTTCTCCCTTTAAAGATGGTGCTTGAAGAGCTCAAAGCTAAAGTGGATAAAGGGAGCCCTTGACACATGGGGCTAAAGAAGAGTGGAAAGAAGTGAACTTGCAACATATGGTCTTTGATCCAACCTGTCCTTATTCAGTTAAATTGAGATAAGGAAATGTGTTGTTATGTTGGAATTATCTAGACTCTTGATATTTCTGAGCTTTGGATTTAAGTTCTTTCAGACATTTCTTGATATTTTTTAATCAAGCCAAATTTCAAATGTCACTTAGTTCTTAAGATTACTCAGTAAATAGTATGACCCCCACTCACCGTCGAAGCTACCCTCCCTTCATTTTTACACTCCCAGCCGCCCAACCCCCTCACCATCAACATGTGATTATGCCTTATACCAAAATAGCACAATGATTAGGAAATTACTAACTGAATTTTGATTATATTCGGATCTAAACAAAAGCTATCAGATGCCACAAAGAGCATAGTAGATTCTATGTAAATGATGACCAAGTTAACACTTTTTGTGCACACTTTCTTGAAAGAATTTTTATGAAAATGAAGACCAACTTAAGATTTTTTGTGCAGACTTTCCTGAAAGAATTAAGCGATGTTTTATTTGTATATTTATGTTATGAGTGATCGGGTGATCGAGATTCCGCATTGGAGATGACAAAGTTGCTAGATTCTTAGCTGTTAAAAAGGCATGAAAGAATGCATTCGTTGGCACTACTAAGCGTAAAGAGAAAAATTTAAAAAAAAGGTGGATTATACCAAAATTCATATAAAACAACAGAGCAAAAGAATATTTATGTGCAACTGGTCGCACAACGCGCGACACGTAAAAGACTAGTTCAATAAAATTTATTTAGTTTATGAAATTTATACTTAAAAATAAATGAAAGTAAGGCGCTTTGGGCGAGAAGCTGGCGGGCGGCTCAACTCGTAGCTAAGCATGATGTATAATAACAGATTGGTGAGTTGGGTCGTTATAACAGCGGAATACTTGTGTTCATGATCTTGTCAAATTAATCCAATTTAACAATTGTTATTGGGAAATTAACTTTTCGTTGGGGTTAGATATGATGAATAGGGCGGATTGTAATAGTTATGTTTGAGCCGTATATTTTCTGTTTTTATGTTTTGTAATTTTTTTATTTAAAAAAAAAAAAAACAAAACAAAAGGCTCCTAGAAGACAAGATTGTGCTTTCTCGTAATGCTTTTTTTGGTCAATAACGAAGTATTTGAAACTACAGGATCGATGTTTAATTATTTCAAACCTTGAGGTTAATGAATGTAAGTCACTCACTTCTGACTTCTATAACTACAAAACGCCCATTAAGGAGCTTCGAACGGAGACCAACGTTATCAAGCTAACTCACCTTCAAGAATGGTTTCTCTGCTTCCTCATCATTCCCTGGTAAATTCTATGGCTTTCAAATGCTTTTACGTCAACAAACTCAGTTTTCATTTCATCGTTGTGTTTCTATCGCTTGAAACGATCAAATTCTTGTTAGAAGTTCGTTTTGATACTATACTCTGCCAAGTACTTGGCAGAACTTCAGTTTGATTTTTGGCAGTGGATGGAGCTCCAAGCTTCAAGACAGAACCAAAGCTTCAATTAATCAAGTGGGTTTTCCTTTCCTGTTTAATTGAAGTAATTATGGCTTTTACTTGGAGAAGCTGCGCATTTCGTGAAATACTCCAATATGGTGACGAGATAACGTGTGCGAATGTAATTTTTCGATAGAATTGTGTTCCTGATGACATTTTGGTTTGGAATTGTACGAAATCGGGATGATTTTAGTGTAGTTTATGCATACACTTGTAGTGCGTGGAGTGGGGATGTTGCTCAATTGTTTCCAAAATATTGGTTGGTGTTAGGGTGAATATGTTGTATTTGATGAAATCCTCTGAAAGATATTTGAAGAAGGTTAGCTGAATAATCACTTAACTCACGTCACGGAGTGATTTGATAGATGCAGTCAGAAATTCCATTTAGGTGGTTTCGAATTTTGTGATTCTGGATGTAAAATGAATTTCCTCCTCTGAGGCATTTTGCTTCAATGCCTGTTTCTGGTCTACCTTAATCTGTCTTCTTTGACGCGCTAATAATAGCTTATTCTATAGTGTAATCTTTTGATTGAAGGAGGATTTGATTTCTGTAATAATGATTCTGCATGAAACACGTGATGAAACATATGGCTTTGTACTATGTATTTAAAGTTGGGAATTTTTTAGGAAATCTAGGAACTTGTCCATATCAGATTTGATACCTTGTATTATTGGCTGTTAATTGAGGTTAAATGTTTCCAGAAAATGTTTTCAAGTTCAGTTATGTAGTAGTCGTTTCCTGCTGAACTACTATTTGATGAATAAATCAGCATTGATAATGCTTTCAATCCCTGTCTGCTATCTTTGCCTTCTGTATTCTCTACGGTAGAATGCTACCCATGACTCTACATTCCTTCTGTTTTCACTCTTGTAAGTGTTTGACTCCATTTGTATTCATCCGATTATACCTACATATATTCTCGATAGAGAGATGTAGGAGTAATCAAGTTACCAAAGCTTGACTAGCTAAAATATTTGTCCACAAAAGAAGGTAGTTATGAATACTTGCGGGAGCTGAAATGAACGAGTACTGGTAAGTTATTATTCTTCTATAAACATCTTCATCAGGATAAATACCACATGGCTGTGGCAAGAAGGGAAGATGTGAAGAGGCTGCTGGAAGTCGAAGACTGTGTCTCAATTGATCAAGATGACAGTCATAGCTTTCAAACTGTCAAGGGATACAAGCTTCCACCCCTTGTTGGTGCTTTAAGAGCTTCAGCGAAAGAAAATGCCGCCAGTTTTCACTTCCCGGGGCATAATAGAGGGCAAGCTGCGCCACTGGTTTTCACACAGCTCATTGGTAAACGACCATATCTTCACGATTTACCTGAGCTTCCAGAACTTGACAACCTCTTTAATCCTGAGGGACCCATTCTGGAAGCACAAGAAAAGGCAGCTGAACTTTTTGGAGCATCAGAGACATGGTTCCTCGTCGGGGGCAGTACATGTGGAATACAGGCAGCCATTATGGCTACTTGTTCACCTGGTTGTCATCTTATCCTTCCTCGGAACTCTCATATATCAGCGGTATCTGCTATGGTACTGTCTGGTGCACTCCCAAAGTACATGTTGCCTGATTACAATTCTGATTGGGACATTGCTGGTGGCATTACTCCTTCACAGGCAAGTGTTTCAAACCTTTCAGACGCTTACCATGAGAAAAAAATAATACGTATTGAGAGATGCTATATGGTAATATTATCTCCGATTAAAATTTTAGCAGGTTGAAAAGGCAATTGAGGAGCTAAAAATGAAAGGTGAAAACGCGGGCGCAGTCTTGGTCGTATCTCCTACTTATCATGGTATTTGTAGCAATATTACTGAAATATCGCAGGTTTGCCATTCTCATAACATCCCTCTGATTGTGGACGAAGCACATGGTGCCCACTTAGGCTTTCACCGTCTGCTTCCAAAATCAGCTCTTTCACAAGGTGCTGATCTCGTCATACAGTCCACTCACAAAGTTTTGTGCTCTCTTACACAGTCATCAATGCTACACATGTCCAGAAATCTTGTTAACAGGGATAAAGTTTGCAGATGCCTTCAAACAGTTCAAAGTAGCAGTCCAAGTTATCTTCTGTTGGCGTCGTTAGATGCTGCAAGGGCTCAGGTTAGTGAAAACAAAGAAAATGTTTTCAATGAGGCAGTAGAACTAGCAGTGGAAGCAAAACGCATGATGAATGAAATTCCCAACATTTCTGTCCTCGACATTGCAAGTTTTCCCCAGTTTCCTGCTATTGATCCCTTGAGGGTGACAATTGGAACAAAATTGCTTGGTCTTTCTGGCTTTGAAGCTGATGATATCTTAACCAAGGGCGTGGGGCTTGTTTCAGAACTAGTTGGGACTCAATCTATAACATTAGCATTTAATCTGGGAACTCGAAAAGAGCATGTCTTGAGGCTCATTTTTGGTTTGAAACACCTAGTTACAGTTTCAGCAGATACCGAATGCACAGTGTATAGTGAGAATGATTATGAGCTCGTTGCACCCTTTGGAAACAGTAACATGAGTCTATCCCCAAGAGAGGCTTTCTTTGCTGATAAAAGAAAAGTTGCCATAAAAGATAGTATTGGTCAAATCAGTGGCGAGCTTTTATGTCCTTACCCACCTGGCATACCAGTACTAATCCCTGGGGAGGTTATCTCTGAAGCAGCTTTGGACTACTTGATACATTTAAATAGCAAGGGTGCTGTTATAACTGGAGCTTCTGATTGTTCTCTTTCCTCCCTTCTGGTGTGTGATGTTTGACTTGTAAGAATGGGTCCATTTTGTGAGTACAAGTGAGTCCAAGATTGGTTCTGCAACAAACTCGACATGAAAAGTTTTGATCTTAAAGGATTGAAGATGGACTCTGAAACTCTTAAGTTTGACTTTAAAGAATTAAGATTACCTGTCAGGTAATCAATCTGTTCCTCTCCAGATGTAGCTTGTGTCCTGGCTACAATAGTGCAAAGGTGAAACAATGCATCAAACATAAACCAGAGACAACTACAAATATTTACATGCAGCGGCACTCGTCAGGTAACAGATACTTTACTCGAAGACTAGTTGGAAATACCATTCCAGCACAATATGCTGCTGCTGTAGCAGATTCACTTGACACAGTGAGTTGCTTCAGTAGGCTAGCAGATTCACTTGACACAGTGAGTTGCTTCAGTAGGATATTTGAACAAATCAAGAAGCCCACTTCAAACTTTGTTGATTTGTGTGTCTACTTCAGACCCCAATGGGTTTCATAACTTCCTAGATCAGGGATTGAGATAGCTCTTATTCATCTCCAGTTTTTTAGTTCTATTCATGGAACTTCTCCAGTAGAAATAATTTTACTCAAAGCGCACTCATGAAAAAACCTTACTAAACAATTGACTTTATCATGCAGAGGAAGACACCATTCCGAAGCCTGAGAGGACAATTTATGAGTACGAACTGCAGAAACACATGGAAGGATTGGATAATCCAACTCTTGAACCAAATTATTTGTTCTTATATCATCCAATCTTGAAGTTTTGAAGCCTAAAGGACCGCAGCTGCTTTTTCTACCTCCTCTCCCTGGTTCTGCCCGTAGACTGAATTGGGTGTATCGATACATTTTTACAAAACGTCCCCCAAAAGGACAACAGGCTGACTTAATCACCCAGGGTGTTCCGAGTTTATAGCTTATCCTTAGGGGTGGGGGCAGCATCTTGACATGTTCTGTATCAAGTTCCTTTCACTATTGTGTCTGAGATTTTTCAGATGTGTTAACTTAAGCAGTATTTGACTTCAGTATGCAGTGCCACAGTTAACCTTTGTCATGTTATAAACGTTTACAGGCAAATTACTTTTAACTTGTTTGAGTTTTTGAACGAAAGGGAATGTCAAACACTTAAAACAACACAGTAAAAACATACGCATTGTCAAACTACACCATTTAGCCACTATTCAGAAAGACCAAATTCATCAAGTGCTGGCCTCAAAGCTTTCACTGGCCTATTTTCAGTTTAGAGTTGTCAGGCAGGGATAGGTCATTAGGTTGCTTCAGGCATGAGCAACGCAATCACTATCCAACCTAGTCAGGAAGGAAGATTGGAAAAAAAACTGCAACACCACCTTTTTGTTGCAACTATGGCCACCATAACTCCTCGCCCAGTAATGCAACCGCCACTGACATAAATCAAAGTCTACTATCAAGATAGCATTGAACTCAATGGCATGGCAGGCACCATCTATGATGAAGCAACATGTTAACATTATAAACCAGTACCTACTATAAACAAATTCTTACATAATGAATCCCGAGCCAAGCATCCATTTAAAAAACTTATCATGTAAATACCTGCTAAACTGATAAAGAAAAAGAAAGGAAAAAAAAAACAGCAAAAAAAGGGGGGCAAATATCAAGTATAGCCACCAGTTCTACATAAGCCCAGTTACACCAGTTTGGACCACAATCGCCCTCATGAAGATGAACGGCAGAGAGTTTTGAACCTTGACTAACTGGGTAGACATATAAGACTTGAGCTTTCGATGGGCTCCAAATCAAAGTTGAAGAGTCTCCCCTTTGACATTGCTAGGGTTACCTACAGAATCACCGCTGAAACCTCTCTTGGATGAAGCCTTCTTCCTCTTCCGTGGTTGATAATCAGCTACAGGGAAAGGATCGCCATAAGTAAGTTGCCTCGGACCACCAAGACTCAAATCCAGATCCTCCTCAGGGTCAGCCCAAGCTATCGGCTTCACTGCTAAAGATGCAAAAGGATGTTATCAGTAAATACCAGATACAACACACCTCTACACAGAAAGAAGGGGAAAAGAGAGAGAGAGAGAGAGAGAGAGAGCCAACAAACTGGATCAAACTCATTAAAACCATGTAAGACGGTTGAAGCTATTCAAAATTTTAGAGGAACACCCCTTCTTTTCTAAAAAAGGAGAGAAAATAATTGAAGGGAAAAAAAAAAGGAATATTGGCAAAGGTACCAATAAAGACTGGCTTAAAAATAAGATTGCCTTTGTGTGAGACTATTTAAGTTAGTCAAACATTAAAGGAGAGCAGATCATTCACCTCCAAGTTCCTTCTCCTCATGTGTTAGGGCTGGACGTTTTTTCCTGACATAGTTATCCTGCAGGGGTCTTGGAATTTGAAATGAAAATTTGTCCAGGGTAACTGTTTCAGTTTTGTATTCGGGATGCTCCTCCAAGAACCTAGATAGCATTAAGATACACAGTAAGCATGATGTATGAAGAGAGCATACAATAAATCATCAAAAAATGAACATACGGAGACAGACGGTTAAGAAGAATTCAAAAGGAACGAAAAAACTGCACCTCTGAATCTCAACCATAGAACGCAGTCGCTTGCCGGAAGGAGCCTCATAGTACCTGTTAAGGGAAATAGAAGCTTCTGCTAAATGACATGTATGGAATTGCATGTGATAAGTGAAGCAGATGGAAGGAAAGACTTACACATCTGCAAACTTTGTGCTTCCTTCACCTCTGATTCTTAAAAGCCTTTGCCACCCAGGGGGAGGCTGAGCAATATTGGGCTTATCGATTGCCCAAAGCCTACTACCATCTTGTTCAATATCAGGTTCATCATCACATGATACATCAGGCCGCCATTCACGAGCTGCTTCACAGACAAAAGGATTGTCCAAAATATGCTCCCTAATTTCTTCATACTTTTCCTTTGTTGGTATTAGTCTCCACTTGAAACAGTTTGCACATTGAACTGTAAAAGCACCAACAGATGGCAACAATCTAGATGCTTGATTAGAAAATGAGTTTCTTCGCATGCGAAGAGGTTCAGATGTATTGGGTTCAGAAATTGGAACAATTTCACTCCCATCATTGCCTTCAGGATCATAAACCACCAACTCATTATTTGCATTTTCAGACACATTGTTCTCTCCATTCTCAAAAATTTGATTTTCTTCCCCTTTGTCACAAGCAACGTTAATCATGGTCCGAGAATTTTCATCAACAGTTTTTAATGCAGATTCAGAAGAATTATTCTCTCCATTCTCAATAGATTGGCTTTCTTCCCCTTTGTCAGATTCAGAAGAATTATTCTCTCCATTCTCAATAAGTAGCTTCTCTCCCTGTTCTTCATCAGAAACATTAATCATGGTCTGAGTACTTTCACCAACAGCAGGTAAAGCAGATTCATCAACAGTACTTTCTTTCTTTGCTTTTAGTGTCAAACCTGCATTTAAATTACTCATTGAACCTTTGACAGGGTTCACCAAAATTTTTTTTTCTTTTTGACCAGTCACCTCGGCATTTGAAATCTTCTACCTGCACAACTAAAGCAAATGAGCATAGCACAACAAGTATCCCATTTCCCATTGCAAAATTACAATTCAGAAATCAAACTTTTGTACATAACAGCACCCGCACCAAATTTTCCAACATAAGTCCACCAGGATAAGTAACAGTAGCAGAGAAGACCAAAGCATTTGATAAAATAACATTGGTGAGCTCAATTATACTAAAAACTGAAGAAATTTAGAATTATAATTGACCAATCTCAGATATACACTCACAAAAGAAGACACCACGTCATGTTAAATCAGAAACAAGAAGAGAAAATATATTTTTAAAATGAAATAACTAATAAGCCTGAATGCAGTCCAAATATAAGGAGATGGACTTCAAAACCTAGTTAGCTGCCCCAGCTGATAGTATGACGTACTTCTTGGATAAACAAGTAAACCGCTGGATGCCTAAACTGTGGAAGCCACTTCTTGACTACTTTTTAGAGGTATCTAGAGGCAGAAAGTAACACACGGGCTAAGATAGATGGAACGAAGTCCTTGATCCACACACTTGAAAGAAAAACTTGTCCAAATCTCTTCATGGTGGCTTAAGGCAGACAGGTACAAACTAGATGCATAAACCACAGAAGAGAGGATCGAGAGGGGGGGGAAAAGAAAAAAAAAAGAAAAAAGAGAGAGAGAGAGAGAAATTAGAGCCACCTCTAATTTTCAATCTACAATAAAATTATCAAATCAGAAAACTGCTGAAACGTATCACCCTACAGACTCTTAAATAGCCAAACCCTAAAATACTCGTGATAAGGAAAATTACCAAAAAGACCAATCCTAAAAGGTTCTAGAAGAAACCAGAATTATCAGACAAATCTTTCCTAATTTAACTTAATTAAACTAACGTGAATTTCCTGCATCATGACGCGACAAATTCACATCAATTATTTCCAAGTGTCCGCAAAATCATTTCAGACCATGAATAGGGTTTTGATTTATGAAAAGAAGAAACTATAACAGCACTGCCATAGACTAATTTCCCACCAGAGAGGATTAAACAATGGTTCAGAAAAGCATCCCCAATAAGTAGAAAATTGAAAGGAAAACAAACGAAAAAATTAATAACCAGAATAGCAATACACGTGAAAACATACAAGCCTGAGCAGGCAGAGAGCATTGAGTAAACACATGTGAAGTTGATATCACAAATGCTTGTGCAAATTTACCTAATGATAGAATAATCTACGCCTAGCAGTCACTTTTAATGAACAGAGAAAGCAGCATACTTCATGAGGAAGATAGCGCTGTACTTTAGACATGAGACAGATAAATGCTATGCTGAAGAATTCCAAACTAAAGATGCACTCATTCTTTTTCAATCGGAATACATCAATTACTCACTTTCCTTTTCCTATCCTGCTTTTTCAGAGGGAGACTAATGGAGGGTAGCTAGCAGCTGTTCTCCTTAAATAAGGCAAATTAAAAGGTACAGAAAAGTATATCAGGGTGAGTAAGCATACAAATGAACTCAGCTTTGTTTACTGACATAACAAATCTCCAGCACTGACGAACAGCCACCTCTGACTCCAACACTTTTCGATTCCTCAAATGAACCAAGCAAAGATAGAAAAACTCAATGTGAAAGGGTAAACTATCAAGATTTCCCGACACTCCAAACTATTAAAGGCCAATTTAATACGACCACGCATTCAATCCCTCCTATATCAAGTAGCTTGTTCAACCCCCGACAAGCACGAGGAATAAGGAAAACCTACGTACATGCATATAAGCATCACTCGGTAGCATTCAATCGAAAGAGCACCCTAAAAAAGTCAACAGATGTACACAAGCCGTTATGAGTTACAAACCACATCACACGTAGCACACAATTTCCCAAAATCGTCAACAAAACCAAAATATTTGCACATTATCATCAAATTGTGTCCTACAATAAAAAATAGAGAAAAACAAAATTAAAAACAAAAAACAAACGCTCAAACAAACATTCATTTTCAATCAATAATGCCCTTATCTCAGCCCCCAATCCCTAACCCCAAAAATATAGTAAGTACATTTAGTCACCCGAAATGAAAGGAAAAATAGAAAGGCAAACCAAAAATCTAATATCATCAAACCTCATCCCGCATAACAAGAAGTAGCCAAATGAAGGTTTGAATAGAAATTTGGAAAATAACAATTGCATGCATATATAATCATGAAAGAAATTACAGCTTTTTCTCAATCCACGTATGGTCGAAATTCCCCACCCACAAAATATTAGACGAGGAAACAATGTACCCCGAGATAATTAATGGGGTCACCAAAAGAACAACATAAAAACCACAAAACCAACGAATTTAAACAAGGAGTATAAGAAATCCAACAACTAAAAATACATCCATCCATGAATTAGAGAGGTGGGATTCCTTTTTCTCACATTGATTTACACCAAAAATGAACAATAAGGGGAAAATAGACATGGAAATTACACAAAAATTGATGCTGAAGCGGATCCCTACATAGACTGGTTTGCTTTAAAAATCGATTCTTTCTGCGAGAGATCAGATTATTGGGTTCCAAAACAGAGCTCAGTCAGCTCTCATGCATATGTAAATAAAAACAAAAAACTGGAATCAGGGTCTCGCACATACCGAAGATCAAGAAGGAGAAGTGTTCGTTTTGATGAATTCCGCAGTGGTTTATGTGAGGCCTCGGGAGTGAGAGAGAAGAGAAAGGATGGAAAAAAAAACCACAGCTGTGGCGAATTATGGATTTTCTTTCTGTTTATTATTTATATTATCAATAAATTTTCTTTTTTTTTGTAATAAAAATTCAGGGCATTGAAGAAAATAAATAAATTAATTCAATTTTGGAAGTTAAAAAAGAACAAAAAAAGGAAGAATAATAAAAACAGACACCAGAATTAAGTTCCTTAACCGATATTCAGGAGTTGAATTTACTCTTTTGCCATTGTCTCCTAATCACGTGCCTAGGTGATAATAAACTGAAGTAAAGTGCACAGTGCACTGCAACCAGGTGCAGCTTGCTAGTGATTCTTGTTAAGAGTGACGATGAGATTGACCTGTGTCCCATAGGAATTTACTAATGAATTTGCCAAAAAAAATTTGAAAATTAGAGTGAACATAAGGAACACTGAATATAGATAGATGAATTTGGAGAATTACACTTTTAATTTTGAACAATTCGTGTGAATAGCTAATCTAATTGAGTGTGTTTTTTTGTTTAATAATGTGTATCTCCCCTTTGTCAGATGTTAGTTTTACTTTGCCTTTAGTTTTTGACTATTTTCCATGACTACATAGTTAACATGTCTGACTAGTAAGGGGAAGACGGTTTTTCAGAATACCGTATTCATACCTTTTTTTTTTTACTTCTACTCAGATGCTATTGAAATTCTAAAAACTAAACAGAAAAATAGTACTAATAAATTTATAAATCCACATTAAAATTTAAGCACATCCCTAATAAGTAAGTAGTAGTTTGAGCCTTTGAGGAACAAGCCCCTCGATGACTTTGAAATGCCTACCAGCGCCCTCTCTCTCTCTCTCTCTCTCCTCCTTTGTTTCGAATTAACAATTCTTGTTTAATGTGTGTTTTTTTAATTTGTAATTGCTATATGTACGATTATCAAAGTAAATTCTTAAATACAAAAGCTTATTCTAATTTGTAAGATATAAAGTGACGTTAAAAAAAAAACCTCTCTCCCCACATTGTTTTTGGGCGGCCGCGTTCAATTTTTTATTCTTTTTCATAAATTTCAAAACGAAACAAAATTTGAAAAATTTATTTTATTTTGTCAATGAACCTTTACTTTGATGAAAACCCTTTCGATTTTTCATTGTTGCAGCCACGGGATTGAAGAAATTACTTTTCTTCCTTTTATTTTGGAGTTTGAGAGGATTTGGAGAGTAGGAACAAAAGAGTTTGTGTGTTTTAATTTTATGATATGGATAATTTTATCTGAAAGGGAGCGATATTTAAGATTTAAGGAAGTGACAAATAGCAACACACTGAATGCAGTAGCAAAAGTGATTGAATAATGTCTATGTCTCATATTTTATAGTCAACAAACTCTCTAAAATATGAAATATGTTCTCTTTGATTGCAACTAGCTACGTACCTCGGGCGTTGTCCCGCTCATTTACACATAATATTATAAAACTAAATATACAAATGATAATTATTTTAGGTAATTTAAAAAAATACAAAATTATAAACAAAAAATTTATAGATCATTTCTAAGAACAACATAACAGAGGTGCATGGATGATACAATTTACAGGATAATCATTCGAATATTTTATTTAGTTTTGAATGAATAGAAGATTTATATATTTTTTAAAAAAAAAAATTTTGAAAATAATGATTTGGTGACATATGTGCTCTTTTTTTATCCCCATTTAATTGGTGTATATATAAATCAAAATTAATTAAAAAAATTACAATATTTTAAATTTTGGAAACAATATGAAAATCATTAATACATTAGTATAAATTGATTAATTATAATTAAAGATTGGAGAACTTAACGATATTAAAAATTGGAGAAATTAATTTTTTTTCCACAAAAAAAAAACTACGTTATTTTTGTTTGATGGGAAATGGTTGAGTCATGAGTGTGAGCGATACACACTGGCATGGACTCTCATTTGGACTTTTGTTTTAATAGGATACTAGATGTTTGGCCCGGGCTGGAAGTCCGGGCGCTTCTAATGTTATACTTATATTAATTAAAAAAATAATAACAAATTATAAAAATATAGAGGAACATTAATTATAATTAAGTACTGAAAACAAATAATTAGGCATGTACATCACCGAAGAATATAGCCATTTTTGAAAGACATATATAAATTAGTCAAAGGGAATGAATCTAGAAAACATTCATGGTATATAACATTTTATAATTTATCTTAATTAAAAATATAATAACAAATTAAAAAAATATATAAAAATATTATACATATCAATGGCAAAAACAAATGGTTAAACAATTGAAAATGAAAACGATTAGTATGAAATAAAGGACAAATAATGTAATTACATCATTACATAACTATGTATACGGCCCAACTTACAAACTTGCCAGAAATAACAATTATACTACTCAAAAGTCAGCCATGCTTACTACCCGTAGTATAATTGCTCAAGGCCTAATTTCTTATCAATTTTTGAACTGTGACTTAGCAAGTTGAAAATTTAAAATCACGATAAAGCATCTATTACACCGTAAAAATAATTTGCTAAAGCCATTATTGCTATCTTTCTCCCCCTTGCAATCACTTCTCTGCTAAGATGAATGTGGTTTGTATAGCAAGGCTTCCCCTTTACATCTTCTGGTTTCCTGTTTCAGAATATCTTCATGAGATTGGAAGCAGTTTGGGGTAGTTCTTAAAACTTAGCATTCAATGTTGCATTTTCAGCTTCTCTGCATTGACGATTGACCTCCATAATTCTGCCAACAGGCCTACAAATCCTACTGTAGCTACAATCAAATGTGGCACACATATTCCAGTCACAGTTTTCAAAAACAAAAGAGCTTTGGTCGGTCAGCAATGGAGAATTTTTAATGCAATGAAGAAAGATGTTGAACAAATAAAATGCAATGGCATATAATTATCCTGTTGGAACACAAAAATACTTGTTTTCAGTCTTTCTAAATTTTCAACAAAATCAACTTACTGGATTAGTACTGTCATGTAAGTATATACTGTAGAGACGTATCAAAGCACTGTCTATGCTCTGTAAAGTTAGTGCCAAAGCTTACCCTCACAACTAGATAACGAAGCTTAATTGGAGCTTTTACATTTGTACATGGTGACCCTCTGCACTTTGAACAAAGTCTTCCTTGGTCAAGTTTGTCATCTACAAAGGTAAACTAAATTAACACCAACTTAACACTATATTTCTAAAATTAACAGGTTCAGCTGTGTAAACAGATTAGCAAGGGAATACTGACAACCTACGCGATATCTTCTTCATAATCCCTGACATCAAAATCTATCTGCCTCAAGTCCACGAAACTTGATAGCAGCATTATCATATGCTATCGGAAAGATATCAGATTTTTATACGATTTTCACAACATAAATAATGCCAAGCAAATACTTGAACTTTGAAACTATCATCAATATTAGTCTATTGGAAGGGAGTATCTAAAAGTCCTACATCTTTTCTGCTTCTACTCAAACCTACATTCAAAGTTCGAGGTTTTCTTTACTTGTGAACGTAGAAAGGTATTTCATATCATCACAAACATGATTAATGAAGTTCATCATATTGCATATCATCTAGCTATTTTACTGATCAGAGGGAATGCTTTAATCTATTTTATCTGTGCAATTTTTTTGTTTTACATTAATTGATGCAACTGAGAAACTCACCACTAATTTTTCCCTCAAACAAAATTTTAACTCACACATATTATAGAGAAGAGGCTAAACCATAATTCTACATAGCAGTATGAACTGTTTATTTACAAAAAGTTTGTAACTTTACCAGATACTTGATCAAGACAACAATAAATAAGTTAAAAAAATTAAACTCACCAGTCGTTGGCCCGTAGTGGTCTAAAATACACAGTCAAACATCTCTCGCCAATTTTGTATATCTAAAGCAATCAAAAATTCAAACAAAATATATTATACTAATGAAAAACTCAACTTAAATTGCACATCTGTAATTCAACATTTTCTTTCAAAAAACAACTATAACCCTTCAATTGTGTTTCTTCCTTTGACTAGTCAATCAACTGGATGCCCTTCATACCTAAGAATCTTCTACATTAAAATGAATTCATTTGTTAGTTCTACAAACTATGCTAATTGAACTCAACTGATTAGTAGCACATCAAACTGATGATGTCTAAAATCATGCTTAAAAGATAAGAATATAAGTTACCTTCCTTAAATCTTGACGAATTCAAATCAAACCCATAAGTGACCGTTGGACATGAAGATTGCACATCACGAAAAGAAATTACATATTTTTACCCGTTAAAACATCAAAACATCAAGATAGTGACCATTCGGTTTGACCTTAATTCCAATTGCATTTCATAGTTTTGCATTATAGATGCAGACACCCTAGCGATCACCTGGTTTCTATGATTAGGATACATATTTGTCTTCACAAAGCCTGGTTTCTCATGAGGCTCAGCCTCGTGTTTAGCCTTCCTAAGCTTCTTAATCTGAGGCATATATATAGGATCCTCTTTAAATGACTCTGAAACCTTCACACAAAACTCATATTTACCTAGATGCGAAGATGGAATCATTAGTTATTTCATAAATTAAAATGAGATAAATAGATGCATATAAACAAAAAAAGCTTCAAGCATGAAACTTGTAAGAACTAAAATACTGGACATTGACCACCAAAAATGAGTTCTGTTGAAGTTTTTTTCTGGAAAAAACCAAAGCAAGATATTGAATGCTGTTAGTATTAATTCAAGCACCTTGTCTGCATTTACCTTGATAATATTATTGCCAAATACTCAAATGTCTTTCAAATCCAACCCCTGAATCTGTCCAAGAACTCAAATGTTTGGTTTGTTTAGTAGAATACACCGCCTGATTTGAACCAAATCTTTCTATCTGCACAAAAAAAAAAAAAAAAACATGACAAATTATACACCAAAAGTAATAAAACCAAGTACTTGAAATTTTTTTTTCACACAAACAATCAATCTGTAATGATGAAAGTATAGCTTTGAG